TAAGCCCTAGGGGTCGTACCATCCAAAACTTGGAAAGAGTTAAAACTACGTGGCGAACAAGCTGAACACTTTCTTAAAAGAAAGAAAGCTGAGAGAAGCCGACCGATGACATCTGCAATCACTAGGAACGCGACTCCTGATCCGAGGTTTCAAAAGGAGTATTCTTTCGAAGATGATGAAGCTCCAGCCATCTTGAAATACCTCCTCGCCAATGACAAAATTGAGATGCCACCTATTAAGAGGGAGCTAAGAGGATTACGGATCCAAACTACTGTGCGTACCACAGAAGGATTCTTCATCCCACCGAGATTTGCTTCGGACTCAAAAACAAAATCCAAGCCTTAATTGACTCCGGCGTCATAACGGCGAAACAAGCCAAGTAAAGACGACTCTAACTCCATTGGATACACGAGTATAAACTGTTCTCCTTAACTCCATTGGGTACACGAGTATAAACTGTTTCCCCTCACTCCAAAGAGTATACGAGTATAAACTGCTCCTCGATACTCCAATAGGTATATGAGTCTAAACTGTTTCCCACTCTTGACGGGAAGTTCCTGGAGAATTCTTACATGTAATATTCTTAAGGATAACCCGATCATGTAACTCAGTATGATGTTAGACCCAGTTTCGCGAAAGAAGCTGGGGGTAGATGGTTCATGTAACGGGAAGTTCTCGGAAAAATGCTATATGTAATTTTCTTAGGGATAACCCGATCATTACAAACAAAGTGATAAACACTACATCCCCACGGTGATTTCCGAATACTCTTTTGCTGAGATAAGATTCGATCACTTCGTTAGATCAATCTTCCCTCACAAAACTCATATTTGGTCAAACCTTTAAACAGTTAGGACCAAAGCCAAAATCCCCTCTCGATTCCTTCCATGAACGAGAGGTCCATAAATTGAACGATCAAACCTTTAAACAATTAGGATCGTCTCAAATTCCTATTTGGTCAAACATTTAAACAGTTAGGACCAAAGCCAAAATCCCCTCTCGATTCCTTCCATTAACGAGAGGTTCACTCAAATTGAATGATCAAACCTTTAAACAGTTAGGATCGTCTCAAAACTCCCACTTGGTCAAACCTTACTATAGTTAGGACCACAACCAAAATCCTCTCTCGATTCTTTCTATGAACGAGAGGTCCACAAATTGAACGGTCAAACCTTTAAACAGTTAGGATCGTCTCAAAATTCCCATTTGGTCAAACTTTTAAACAGTTAGGACCAAAGACAAAATCCCCTCTTGATTCCTTCCATGAACGAGAGGTCCACTTTTAGTTGAATAATCAAACCTTATGACAGTTAGGATTATTCAAACCCGTACAGATTCTCTAAGTGAAGATCCCACTTTGAGTTTCCTTTGCACCAGGAGATAGAATATAAAATTCTTCCTCTCCGATTTCGGGTTCATCTCTACCAACAAACAAGAGACCAGGAGATAGAATATAAAATTCTTCCTCTCCGATTTCGAGTTCATCTCTACCAACAAAAAAGAGACCAGGAGATAGAATATAAAATTCTTCCTCTCCTGGGTCGGGTTTATCTCTACCGACAAAAAAAAAGAGACCAGGAGATAGAATATAAAATTCTTCCTCTCCATCATTGGGTTCATCTCTACCAACAAAAAAGAGACCATATTACTCCAATAGGTACATGAGTCTAAACTATTTCCCTACCCTCAACAGGAAGTTTCTGGAGAATATTACTCAGAATATTCTTAAGAATAACCTGATTACCTCCCAATGGGTATACAGGGTTAAACTATTTCCCAAACACTCTAATAAAGTATATGAGTATAAACTATCTCTCCACTCTTCAATAGCAGTTCTAATTCAAGACTTCGACGACGGTCACGCGATAAACGCAGCACCGAAGGAATTTTAGCTATTCTACAAAGCACTGAATAGAGTAAAGATGTAAGAAAGTTCACAGAGTGTGAAGCATTTATGGGTCCTTCCGTATCTGATCTACTCAATCACGTATTGAAAGGATTTAAAAGTAGACCATCTATCCAACAGTATCCCAGGACTCCTCTATACAAAATGAGTCTGGACATACTTTAGGAGGGGTACTGTAGGTGTCAAAAAATGCTGAAAGATTATCGAATACAGGCTCAAAAAGATATCATCCAAAAAAAGACAGAAGAACACAAGGATGGCTGTCTCGCACGCGAGACAGTCTTTACTGCTCTCGCACAGCAGAAGTATTCTCTGTCTCGGCCATGCAGACGCTTCTCTGTCTCGCATGCCGAGCAGCATTTCTCGTGTCTCGCCAGTGCCGAGACAGTTATTACTGTCTCGCAGGCGACAAGTATTCTCTATCTCGCCATGCGAGAAGCATTCCCTGTCTCGCCCGCGAGATAGTATTCCATATCTCGCCAGCGAAGACAGCTCTCAAAGAATGTCAGAAACCGTTTTTAACCGCCGACACGTGGCCACAAACTTTCAAAGAACGTGAGAACGACGTGGGCTGAGAATCACTGTTGATAACTGCCAGAGTAACGGAGTTGTAAAACGTTAGAAGGCAGTTACAGAAACTGATGGGTCGCTTCGAGGATTTCGAGACAGTATTTCACTGTCCGGAACCCGAGACAGTGTTTACTGTCTCGGAACCCGAGACAGTCTTTGCTGTCTCGCCCGCCGAGACAGTAAACACTGTCTCGGAAGCACAGTTTGTCCTAGGGGTTATAAATACCCCCCCCAAGGCCATTTTGGAGGGCGCAGATCATTTTTGAGCACTTGGGAGCAGAGAGAGAGAGAGTTCCTGAGCTTCTGGCAATCCCTTGAGATTCAAGATTTGACTTGATCTCAAGAAGAACGACTATCTTACTTTGATAAGATATCGTTTTAAATTCTCGCTTCGATAAACGAAGGAAGAATCATTAAACCCCTCACGATTCAATCAGAATCTGTGATTTGGTAGTCCACGAGTCAAAGCGCTCCCGGCACAGGCAAAGATCCCACGCAAGCAGTGATCCAAACAACGATCCTGCGTTTGTTTCTAAAAAGTTATAATTTTCATTTTGTTGTGTAAAAGAAGTCTTATAAAAAGGCTATCTCTTTTGAATTTATTGTAATCGACCGAAGATATAATGAATTCCACAATGAAACCAACTTTTGACGAAAAAAAATAATACTTAACAGTAAACTCATTTTAGCCCTCCCAATTCCACAGTCTTACATCATCTCTATTATTTTCTCCAACCCCATCAATAGTTCTACTAAGCTTCAAAAGAGATAACATATTTTCTATTATTTTCTCTATTGTTCTCCATTGACAAATATCATTAACAAACTTCCTCAAGGAGGAAACAATTGCCCAGATATTAGAAGCTACAACGAAAAAGCCCATGAAAAAAATTGGCTAAAGATATCTGAGTCACCCCTTCATCTTTCGAAAGCCAAGCCTTCTCTCCATTCCCTAAGGTAACGTTTGGCAAAGGGTTAAGTGAGGGGTTAAGGAGACTTAACCCCTTCTTAACCTGCCAAACACAACAAATCTATATAAGGGTTAAAGTGAGTTAACCCTCCATAATTTGCCAAACATAAAAAATATAGAAGGGTTAAGTTAACCCCTCTAGAGGGGTTAAAATGAGTTAACCCCTCAAAAAGAAGGGTTTACTAATACTCCTATTTAGATGGAATAAGAGTTAACCCTTCTAATTATAAAGAAAATAGTCAAAATCATTGTTATTCCCAAACACTAAAACTGATCATAAGGGCTAAAATAAAACTTATTTAACGGGTTAATAATTTAGTCATTTGGATTATCAAATGGGCTAAGTACATTAATCATTCTCTTTAACCCATCTTCATTAACCCTTTGCCAAACGGGGCCTAAACTAACACGAGCGCATCAAATAAAGCTATCGAAGTTATGGATGATATTTTCCTGGAACTTATATTTCTACGATCACACACAATTCAAGCTATCTACATCAGAATAATACTCGCTCATAGAAGTGTCATTCAAGCTATCTACATCAGAATAATACTCGCTCATAGAAGTTATGGATGATATTTTCCATCTCTAAACCCATTTACTAAGAAGAGTTTTGTTCATAATTTTTAAATCAAGAATTCCTAGCTCTCACTGTCATAAAGATACATGATACATCACTTGCTCTATCATCCATACCATAATTTTGGGTCTAAAATACTAGCTGTATTGCTCTCCATACTAATTTTTTAAACTATTGTTTAAAATGATTTTGCTGTCATAAAGATATATCACTTGTCCGATACCACAATTTTGGGTCTAAAACTAATTCCTCCCTTTTGAATCATTTTTCCATCTTTGCCACGGGAACGAACGCTCTCTTTTGAGTCCTGACCAGCAAATTCCAAAAAAAGTTCCATGGTCGTTGTCATTTCCCATCGTTGACGTGACAAGTGGCAACCACGTGCTTGGAAGCATCAGATATTATATATATATATATATTACTATAATGTAGCCGTACCTCTTGCTGCCAATGGGATGTTTGGTTGTATGTTTTTACCATGTAAAAGAATGTAAAGTGTAAAAAAGTAGGTCCCAATGTCAGCTTTTATCACTTTCAATTGTTTGTTTGTAGTTGTGAAAATAGTGTAAAGTGATTTCATATGCTGATGTGGCTTGTAAAGTGATTTCATGAAAAAAAGACATGATTTTAGGAGAAAGCTAACATTGAAGTTAGGAAAAAATAATAAAAAATAATTCCAACCAATATGATCATTTGATTAGGGACCACTTTTTACACTTTCCAAACAAATAATTAAAGTTTTATTTTGCAAACCAAACAAGTGTTTTAAGATTCCAATAGAATAAAAAACAAACAATGAAAAGTATAAAAGTAAAATTAATGAGGTGGACAATAACTTTTCAAGTTGTGTCATAAATACACAAGTTTACCAACAACAACCAAACAGCCTCAAATTCCGATGGCAATTTTTACGAATTAGGATACCGCCGTCTATTTTCATATAGCTCGTGGGCACTATCGTCAAAATACATTTCCTTCGATCCCCCTTTAGAACCCACGAGCTCGCCGCTCTCCCCTCGGCGCGAGCCATGCTCTCGCTGTGTCGACCCGTTTCCCTTTGTCCCGCTCTGAACAAATACGCGCCCCCTTTCCATTTCTGCCCTCCCACCTTCGCCAAATCTACCGACCTGCCACCCCGCGCGAACTCCCCGAAGCTCGTCTCGTCTATGGAGGCTCCTCCCTCCGGTTACAGACGAAACGTTGGAATTTGTCTCATTAATTCCTCTAATAAGGTCAGTTAGGGGTTTTAATTAGATCTAGGGTTTCTTTTGTTTATAGGAGTTTAATTCGAATTTTGAGGTTTTTTTTAAAGGTTTTTTCGGCGTTGAGGCTTGATATCCCAGGCGCATGGCAAATGCCTCAGGTGATTGTGATTTCTCTAGGCGTCTGTACAAAATATTTTTATATGCGATTAATCTTAAGAAAAGATTTGAAATTACCAATTTTTTTATGTTTTTTTTTTGTTTATCTATTATCCAGGGCGGTGTAGATGAAGGGGAGGATCCAAGAGTCGCTGCAGTTAGAGAATTGAGAGAAGAGACTGGAGTCACATCCGCCGAGATTCTTGATGAGGTTTGTTTGCTTGTAAAGAAGAGACTGGAGTCACATCCGCCGAGATTCTTGATGAGGTTTGTTTGCTTGTAAATTAATCACAGATCGATAGAAAATGTAAACTATTATTAGAGATTCTTGATGAGGTTTGTTTGCTTGTAAATTAATCACAGATCGATAGAAAATGTAAACTATTATTACCATTGTTGTTGTTGTTGGATTCATGTAGTATTCTGTACTCCAGTCATGTTTTCAGGGAAATGTGACAATGTGATTTGCTGCCAATTTTCTAAAGATAATAGAAAGGAACAATGTGCCCATGGGAGCCTATAGATGCTTATTGCTGCACATTCAACATGCACATTTGTTTTGTTCTGAATCAGTTGTTGCTTACTTGTGCATACCATACATTATTAATTTATAATTTAGATTTTATGTTATTGTACCTTACATGCTCATCGAATTCTTTATGAGACCAGTGATGCAGACCAGAGTTTCGATCATTAATAGCTAAGGAGGGGTGTACTTGTAATAGATTTATCTAGACTGACACAATATCGAATAATAGCAGTATGGTTGACAACGAGATGGGTAAGCATGTATTATTCATTAGGTGGAGCTGCAAGCAAGATAAGCTTTCTTCTAAACAAACTTTGGATATAGGCATCCAAGGCATAGATTTCTAAGGGGGGGGGGGGGGGGGGCTATACTATAATAGAGAAAATATGGAGCAGTGCCCTGATATTGTAAAGTGAGAATTACCGTGATCAGATGACAGTAAGAAATTAAATTACGGAGAGGTATCGTCTAGGATCACGCACTTTTGTCTTTTGTACCATTCAGTAGATGCTTGAAGAAGTTTGTTGGTAGCTGATCGGTTCTTTTGGAGTGTGGGCAGTTAATAGCTCTTATGAGCTTCATCTTTTTGCTTGTAGAATGGAACATAGTGAGAATAAATTTTATTTAAAAAAAATATTAAGCTGGGTCATAAGTTTGGATGCTGATTAATTTTAGGAACTATACTCTTGTATTTGTAGGATTTATACTTTTAGGATATATGGAAGCATATGAAGTTTTTGGATAAGAAAATGTCTACTAGATTAAGGTAATATCTTATTCATTCGACATGCACTTGATAACTGATTACCTAATCGCTTTTTTGATCAAATTAATTGTGTTCTTGAGGCATTCTCGAAGCTTGATATTGACATGATAGGTTATTAGTCCTGGGAATTGTGTTCTATGTGACTCTTTTGCTTTGTTCTCCATTTGAATGTATCCCCACTGGCAAATCCATCCGTCTTTTCTCTTCCTCTTTCTTAATCAGAGTCCTGTTTTGAGAAAAGATGAAGGTGAAGCTGGTTATGGTAGAGGAAAACCATTGAAATCATCATTACAGCAAGATGTTAAGGAAAAGCTTAAAAAATCAATAAATAATTGCACCTCTGTGAACACTTCGTTGGCCTTAAGGGAAGGCGGGTGAGATAATCAACCATGCACCTTACAACATTGTCTTTTTAACACTATCCAGCAAGGTAATCATGATAAAGTTGAAAAAGGCACGAGCATTGTTGGGAAGAGATGATTGTTGTTGGACTGTTTTATTTTCATTTCTACATTGAAGAAAACTAACACTAGAAGGCCAAGTTATTTATGTTTTTCTTTGTGCACTCAAATTGTACATCTGTATCTTAAATCCTATAATTTATTCTATATGCTTTCTGTATTGTTGACCCCATTTATACATTATACATTTTGCTTCGGTCTTGCATATACGGTGGAATGGATGCAAACAAAATTAATTCCAAACCAGTCTGAGAAATGAATTCCCTGTTTGTGAATCCTTAGTGTATCTTTCTGATGCAGGTTCCTTACTGGTTAACTTATGATTTCCCTCCTGAAGTGAAAGAAAAACTAAATAAACAATGGGGAACAAATTGGAACGGTCAAGCACAGAAGTGGTAAGCTTGTTAGCAATCTCTATGGCCATAACTGCATCTCACGCATGCTATTGAAATATAGAGTCAGAAACATACTAGCAGTCATTTTGATATGTAAATTGGGGTTAGAGTTTTATTTATTGTCATGCTGTTGTGTTGAAGACGAATCAGATATAAGTAGGTTTGAAAAGCTTTTCAGCATTAGCATATATCAAGGCAAGTATCTTGCAAAATCCATTGTTTCAACTAGTCAGTTACAGCAAGATAGTTAACCTGTTTTGTTTGTTTTGTGCTGTCGGTTTCATGTTTGCATTGCTGAGATTGTTTGCGAGTTTGTTTGTTGAAGAGTTGAAGAAGTTCTATCCTACCACTTATTTATTGTTTCCAAGTATAGCCTGTGAGCAGTGCTTTTAAGAAGCTTATTATAACAATCATGCAAATGGAATGGCTTACTAGCAGTCTTGAAAAGATTCATTGCACTGTTTAAAATATGATGAAGTCCTGTGTAAGTGAATATTGAAAACATCAACTGGCTAACAGCTTTCTGTGATGTACAATTAGTTCGCATGGTGGAACCTGATAGTCTTTCAAGAGAAATACGGTGTCTAAAAACAACATCTTGGTAGATAAACATATTCTAATAACCTTTTAAGAGAAATATGTTGGCTAAAAAAAGAAAACTTTTTCAAAGAAAATTTGCATGCATGAATTATGGAGAATGCATCTCTAGTTAGTTATTCAGGCTAAAGCGTTAAAATACTGAAGGAAAAAAAATGATATGTCAAAAGTGTAAAATATTCTTCTTTTTCATCTTCAAACTTTGCTTTGTATGTATTCAGGTGAGTGGGGAAATTTGAGAAGAGAACTTTGCTTTTTATGCATCGAGGGGAATTCCTTTTGTTTAATATACCCAAATTAGGTAGCGAGTACATCTGGGGTGTATGAGCAACTTTTGAGAACAGTTTACGCCCACACCTACACCCTCCATGCAATAAGACACCACCCCATCCAACTCCATCAAGGATGGCTGCTCTGGATAGGGAATATTCACATTTGATCATTCTCCTTAGATAGAGGGAGAGGGGGAGGGAGAGGAAGGGCCCTAACTAGGGGTGCATACGGTTCGGGTATCATTCGGATATGATATCCATATCCGCTTTCTTAAAACAGATACGGATACAGATATCGTTTTCCTTCAGTAAGAAAAAGTCGTAAGCACATCCGCAAAAAGCGGAAATGGATGCGGTTTGGATATTGGAGAAATGGATATGGTATGGTTGCGGATACGAATAGGATACTTGAAAAATAGATGTGCATCGGATATAAGAGGAGCCATATATTAATTACTCTAATTTGCACCAAGGAGATAAACCATAACTTAAAAATTGCAATATATTGACTACTATTGGTTTTCTAAACTAATGTACAATATGTAATACAACCAAAATAATTCAGTTCTCAAATGGTCTTAATCCAAGTGCATTACTCAAAGGCAAAAGTTTTCTTAATCATCATTAATAAATAAATCAAATAGTATAACATAAATTTGACCATAAATAAGTTGGAAGTACACGATTGATTACCTCAATAAAAGCACAATCCAATAACCCAAAAACATATAACCACATCCCAAATCACACGCAATTGTATCAAGAAAATCAAAATATTAGTAATGTTCATATCCGTACCCGTATCCGAATCCATGTCAGAATTCATATCCAGAACCATATCCGAGTTCATATCCAAATCCATATCTGAATACATACCTAAATTGTGATACCCGGACCGTATCCGAAATTTTAATTGATATCTGTATCTGAAACAATATCTGACAAAAACAAAACAAAATCTTATCCGAGATTGTATCAGTATTCGGCTGGTTTCAAACTTTGGCTACTATAGCAGCATCCATTCGGATATGGTTGCGGATCAATTTGACTACCATATCTGCATCCTATTTGATTTCAAACCCCAAAAAAATATATAGTTTGAGAGAAGAGGCAAAAAAACCTCTTTTGTCTATTGGGGACGGGTAAAACCTATATTAACTGATTTGTTAGTTACTCCCCTTAGCCTTTGTCATCCATAGATCCATAACTGCATATCACGCATGCTATTGAAATATAGAGTCAGAAACATACTAGCAGTCATTTTGATATGTAAATTGGGGTTAGAGTTTTATTTATTGTCATGCTGTTGTGTTGAAGACGAATCAGATATAAGTAGGTTTGAAAAGCTTTTCAGCATTAGCATATATCAAGGCAAGTATCTTGCAAAATCCATTGTTTCAACTAGTCAGTTACAGCAAGATAGTTAACCTGTTTTGTTTGTTTTGTGCTGTCGGTTTCATGTTTGCATTGCTGAGATTGTTTGCGAGTTTGTTTGTTGAAGAGTTGAAGAAGTTCTATCCTACCACTTATTTATTGTTTCCAAGTATAGCCTGTGAGCAGTGCTTTTAAGAAGCTTATTATAACAATCATGCAAATGGAATGGCTTACTAGCAGTCTTGAAAAGATTCATTGCACTGTTTAAAATATGATGAAGTCCTGTGTAAGTGAATATTGAAAACATCAACTGGCTAACAGCTTTCTGTGATGTACAATTAGTTCGCATGGTGGAACCTGATAGTCTTTCAAGAGAAATACGGTGTCTAAAAACAACATCTTGGTAGATAAACATATTCTAATAACCTTTTAAGAGAAATATGTTGGCTAAAAAAAGAAAACTTTTTCAAAGAAAATTTGCATGCATGAATTATGGAGAATGCATCTCTAGTTAGATATTCAGGCTAAAGCGTTAAAATACTGAAGGAAAAAAAATGATATGTCAAAAGTGTAAAATATTCTTCTTTTTCATCTTCAAACTTTGCTTTGTATGTATTCAGGTGAGTGGGGAAATTTGAGAAGAGAACTTTGCTTTTTATGCATCGAGGGGAATTCCTTTTGTTTAATATACCCAAATTAGGTAGCGAGTACATCTGGGGTGTATGAGCAACTTTTGAGAACAGTTTACGCCCACACCTACACCCTCCATGCAATAAGACACCACCCCATCCAACTCCATCAAGGATGGCTGCTCTGGATAGGGAATATTCACATTTGATCATTCTCCTTAGATAGAGGGAGAGGGGGAGGGAGAGGAAGGGTCCTAACTAGGGGTGCATACGGTTCGGGTATCATTCAGATATGATATCCATATCCGCTTTCTTAAAACAGATACAGATACCGTTTTCCTTTAGTAAGAAAAAGTCGTAAGCACATCCGCAAAAAGCGGAAATGGATGCGGTTTGGATATTGGAGAAATGGATATGGTATGGTTGCGGATACGAATAGGATACTTGAAAAATGGATGCGGTTTGGATATTGGAGAAATGGATATGGTATGGTTGCGGATACGAATAGGATACTTGAAAAATAGATGTGCATCGGATATAAGAGGAGCCATATATTAATTACTCTAATTTGCACCAAGGAGATAAACCATAACTTAAAAATTGCAATATATTGACTACTATTGGTTTTCTAAACTAATGTACAATATGTAATACAACCAAAATAATTCAGTTCTCAAATGGTCTTAATCCAAGTGCATTACTCAAAGGCAAAAGTTTTCTTAATCATCATTAATAAATAAATCAAATAGTATAACATAAATTTGACCATAAATAAGTTGGAAGTACACGATTGATTACCTCAATAAAAGCACAATCCAATAACCCAAAAACATATAACCACATCCCAAATCACACGCAATTGTATCAAGAAAATCAAAATATTAGTAATGTTCATATCCGTACCCGTATCCGAATCCATGTCAGAATTCATATCCAGAACCATATCCGAGTTCATATCCAAATCCATATCTGAATACATACCTAAATTGTGATACCCAGACCGTATCCGAAATTTTAATTGATATCTGTATCTGAAACAATATCTGACAAAAACAAAACAAAATCTTATCCGAGATTGTATCAGTATTCGGCTGGTTTCAAACTTTGGCTACTATAGCAGCATCCATTCGGATATGGTTGCGGATCAATTTGACTACCATATCTGCATCCTATTTGATTTCAAACCCCAAAAAAATATATAGTTTGAGAGAAGAGGCAAAAAAACCTCTTTTGTCTATTGGGGACGGGTAAAACCTATATTAACTGATTTGTTAGTTACTCCCCTTAGCCTTTGTCATCCATAGATCCATAACTGCATATCACGCATGCTATTGAAATATAGAGTCAGAAACATACTAGCAGTCATTTTGATATGTAAATTGGGGTTAGAGTTTTATTTATTGTCATGCTGTTGTGTTGAAGACGAATCAGATATAAGTAGGTTTGAAAAGCTTTTCAGCATTAGCATATATCAAGGCAAGTATCTTGCAAAATCCATTGTTTCAACTAGTCAGTTACAGCAAGATAGTTAACCTGTTTTGTTTGTTTTGTGCTGTCGGTTTCATGTTTGCATTGCTGAGATTGTTTGCGAGTTTGTTTGTTGAAGAGTTGAAGAAGTTCTATCCTACCACTTATTTATTGTTTCCAAGTATAGCCTGTGAGCAGTGCTTTTAAGAAGCTTATTATAACAATCATGCAAATGGAATGGTTTACTAGCAGTCTTGAAAAGATTCATTGCACTGTTTAAAATATGATGAAGTCCTGTGTAAGTGAATATTGAAAACATCAACTGGCTAACAGCTTTCTGTGATGTACAATTAGTTCGCATGGTGGAACCTGATAGTCTTGCAAGAGAAATACGGTGTCTAAAAACAACATCTTGGTAGATAAACATATTCTAATAACCTTTTACGAGAAATATGTTGGCTAAAAAAAGAACTTTTTCAAAGAAAATTTGCATGCATGAATTATGGAGAATGCATCTCTAGTTAGATATTCAGGCTAAAGCGTTAAAATACTGAAGGAAAAAAATTATATGTCAAAAGTGTAAAGTATTCTTCTTTTTCTTCTTCAAACTTTGCTTTGTATGTATTCAGGTGAGTGGGGAAATTTGAGAAGAGAACTTTGCTTTTTATGCATCGAGGGGAATTCCTTTTGTTTAATATACCCAAATTAGGTAGCGGGTACATCTGGGGTGTATGTGCAACTTTTGAGAACAGTTTACGCCCACACCTACACCATCCATGCAATAAGACACCACCCCATCCAACTCCATTATCTAAATTGAACAGCTTGTTTCAATCAAGAGTAGCTGAAAACAATTTATCAAAACCAATCAGTCTGCGAAATTTCTGGTTCAGTATTGTAGACAAACTTTTCCTCCCCAGAAGAAAAATTTTAATATGAAATCTGCAATTAACATCTCGCCTTTCTTGGGTCACTGTTGTATGAAATTTCCACGTATGTTTTTGTAATGTTTCTTTATCAGAAATAGTTTCCTTGAGGGTCGATGATCAAAAGGATGGGACATTTTTTTAAATAAGCAATTTTGTCAATATTGTTCACAAATCTGTTCAGATTCACGCTTGTTTATGTAGTAACTGAAGAAGCTCAAAACTGACAGATTTTTCTAGTCAGTGCTACTAGATTTGTGGAGCACTTTGGCTTGTGGTGTGAGAGTGGTTACCCTAGTGTTGCGTTGTATGTAACTTTGAATGATATGTGGTAAAGAGGGTGTAGAGTTAATTGGACCGACATTTGGAACCATTGTTCACTTGGGAGCAAGCATTATAAGGAAGCGAGACATTTGGCAATCATGCATATGTTATTTGTGTACAGTAAGGACAAAGAAGGAATATACATGTACATTTATCTTTACAAAAGATACAAAAAAGTTTGTTTAATTGAAAAGAAGGCCACGCTGACATTATTTGGATTGAATATGCATGTTTCGAACTCCACTCGGACTGCAACATTTAAATATATGCAATAAGTCTTATTACATAAGGCTAAGTACTACACTAAATGCATTATAATAGCGCATTGGATTAAGTACTACACTAAATGCATTATAATAGCGCATTGGATCAATTAGTCATCAATTCTCTTTTATTATCGTTTCTAGTTTGGTTATCCAGGTGTTCACTCTTCAGAAATCAAACACAAGTCATCATCAAGGATGGCTGCTCTGGATAGGGAATATTCACATTTGATCATTCTCCTTAGATAGAGGGAGAGGGGGAGGGAGAGGAAGGGCCCTAACTAGGGGTGCATACGGTTCGGGTATCATTCGGATATGATATCCATATCCGCTTTCTTAAAACAGATACGGATACAGATATCGTTTTCCTTCAGTAAGAAAAAGTCGTAAGCACATCCGCAAAAAGCGGAAATGGATGCGGTTTGGATATTGGAGAAATGGATATGGTATGGTTGCGGATACGAATAGGATACTTGAAAAATGGATGCGGTTTGGATATTGGAGAAATGGATATGGTATGGTTGCGGATACGAATAGGATACTTGAAAAAAAAGATGTGCATCGGATATAAGAGAAGAGCCATATATTAATTACTCTAATTTACACCAAGGAGATAAACCATAACTTAAAAATTGCAATATATTGACTACTATTGGTTTTCTAAACTAATGTAAAATATATAATACAACCAAAATAATTCAGTTCTCAAATGGTCTTAATCCAAGTGCATTACTCAAAGGCAAAAGTTTTAATACAACCAAAATAATTCAGTTCTCAAATGGTCTTAATCCAAGTGCATTACTCAAAGGCAAAAGTTTTCTTAATCATCATTAATAAATAAATCAAATAGTATAACATAAATTTGACCATAAATAAGTTGGAAGTACACGCTTGATTACCTCAATAAAAGCACAATCCAATAACCCAAAAACATATAACCACATCCCAAATCACACGCAATTGTACCAAGAAAATCAAAATATTAGTAATGTTCATATCCGTACCCGTATCCGAATCCATGTTGGAATTCATATCCAGAACCATATCCGAGTTCATATCCAAATCCATATCTGAATACATACCTAAATTGTGATACCCGGACCGTATCCGAAATTTTAATTGATATCTGTATCTGAAACAATATCTGACAAAAACAAAACAAAACCATATCCGAGATTGTATCAGTATTCGGCTGGTTTCAAACTTTGGCTACTATAGCAGCATCCATTCGGATATGTATCCGAGATTGTATCAGTATTCGGCTGGTTTCAAACTTTGGCTACTATAGCAGCATCCATTCGGATATGGTTGCGGATCAATTTGACTACCATATCTGCATCCTATTTGATTTCAAACCCCAAAAAATATAGTTTGAGAGAAGAGGCAAAAAAAGCTCTTGTGTCTATTGGGGACGGGTAAAACCTATATTAGCTGATTTGTTAGTTACTCCCCTTAGCCTTTGTCATCCATAGATCCATAACTTAGCCACTTAGCTTGTACAATTACTTTTAGTTAAATAGCTTTTTCCAGTATTAGTCCGTTAGATCTTCCATATATTGAATAAGTCCCTCAAATCATTGAAATCGATATTAAGTTGTTTTGAAATTAGTCCTTCCAAACAAGAGCATTTGTAGCTATGAGAGGGATTAATTTGAAACAATTTAAGAACTGGGGGGGATCTAATAGCAATTTCAGTGAGTTGAGAGGTAATTGCAAAATAAGAAAGATGTAACGGATTGACATGAAAAACCTATATAGTAATCGTAGGGGGTTGGGTTGTGGGGGTGTCATGGCCACTGTCAGCTCCCTGCCTTTGTCCTTCGTCGCTTGGGTCTATCCGGACTGGGAAAATAGTACAGGGGTCTATTCGCACAAATAGAACTTAAAGGGGATCTATCCGGAACTGGGCGTTAATACAGGAGGTCTATCCCCAATCAACCTTAGAAATTGTTCAACAGATAATTGTATAATATTCATGACTGTATTAACCATCATTCAGCTGAATTCATTTTAGCGTCATACAGGTTTCTATTGAGATTTACCGGAAAGGATCAAGAGATTAACCTTTGTGGTGATGGAAGTGAAAAGCCAGAGTTTGCAGAATGGTCATGGATGACTCCCCAACAAGTTATAGATCATGTATGTGTCTCCGTTTTTATTTACTTTACTCCTCAGATGAAGGACAAGGCTAGTTATTGGTTTCTGATTGTGTTTTCTTGTTGAATATGAGAGCAGGCCGTGCATTTCAAGAAGCCAGTATATGAAGAGGTCTTGAAAGTATTCGCTCCACATCTCCAGTCAGATTCTAGCTCCCTGTGATTCAGTCCTCCAGTTTTAGGGATCACGTTCGGTCAACAAACAGCACATCAAGTTTGCTTGCCATGTAACAAAACAAATAATGTTTGTTGGCATGCTGGTTACATTATGATTGAAAAGATGTTAATTGGGTAACGCATACAATTTCTTGTTTCTTATATTTTGTATGGAGGACTCGTAGTTGTTTTTTTTTAGTCGCATAAATGATTCATAGATCGGAATGAATTTTGTCCATGTAATTTGTTTGTTCTTTGTCAATGATGAAGTTGTTGGGAGGGTTTGCCAGCTCAACTCATCAACGAGAAAAGAGTTATATCAATGAATTGCAACATTGGATCCAAGATTAGGTGCGGTTTGCCAAAAGTTCTACCACCTGCTCTTCATTATTTGCTTTTGCCTGGAAAGCCTGCAGCTGGTATCATATGATTTGTACCGAGTCAAATGGAGGAGTCCGTATGTGCTAGATATCCCCATGAGCATAGTTGCTTTTTTTTTAAAAGGAAAATTGCCAAGGATACGAGTATATACTATAATTGCAGAAGTTGAATGTACACTGGTTATTCAAAGAAATGGAACAATCAAACAGATAGTAACAATAGCCAAACTTGCAAGAAACTTGTCACTAATTCAAAACACCTGAATAGGCCATTATCAGGTTGGCGACCGATCCCAGCATGAAGTCTTCTAAATCAAGAAAGACCTAATTGAAAGCATCAAAATCATTTCAAGAGACCCACAAACAACCTAAATTAAACATCCCCAGACTTGTAGATCAAGAATGACTTGCTGCCGCTATAACTTGAAGCGAAGGCCTTTCCTGAAGAGGATGGTGAGGAAAATGCAATTTCACAAAGTTCCAATTCATGGCTTCTGCAAAAAGATTTCCTGTGAAACAACGATTTTTTTTTAAACAAACAAAGCAGCACAAGCAAGAATTCAACAATTTTCTTCTTGTTTTCAGGAGATTTACCTTGTAGCATCAAGTAATTTTGAAGCTACTCTGTTTCTTCTACTTCCAGGCACAACCCAAATTGCTCTAATTCCGCAAACAGCAGTCACTGCTTCTTCGTTACATAGGATTGCTCCATTATCCCACTCATCCATTTTGTGTCTATTTACAGCACCTTTTCTTACGATTTCCCTCTGAAATTTTATGTTTCCAAAGTTGAGTGAAGATGAACAAGGTCTCTTAACTTCTTTAACAGTGTCTTTCTGCTTGAAGTTCTCATCAGAATCTTTACAGGTGTTTGGACTTGAGATTATTTCTGTGATTTGAGATGAACAGATAAACCTACAAATAAAAAAATTTTAATTATAATAACTGTGATCATATTGGGCAATTCTAGTTCATACTCTTAGTTTCCTTCCCTCAGTTACAATTTACCTGGCAGAGTTCATGACAAAGCATTCCACCACCAAAACCAAGTTCCTTCTCTATTATCTTAATAACTTGTTGTGCCTGTCAATTAAAGCGTGTTTTAAGATAACTTACAGGAACACCATCTTAATTTAGTCTTTTTCTTCCAAACTCTTCAAGGCATTATATGAAATAAAAATTGACTTTGAAATAAAACCTTATACTTATGGGCAGGAGGATCACCGTCTAGCACCAATACAATGCGATCCCCGTTGTTATTACATTTAAAGACCACTCTTTCACTGCGCCAACCCTGTTCTTGAGAATTATACATATCGGAATTTAGGCTAAAAAAAGTGCCGATTAGTATGCATTAAGAAAATGAAGAAAGAAGTTGAACCTTAAATTGAACTCCTTGATAGTAATCCTTATGAAATGTCTTGTGAACCTTCTCATCACCTTCATCTCCTCGTGCATACATCAATCCACACACGGAGCAAGTGTGAAGAAGGAAATCAGATTGCCCCAGCTCCAAATGGAATTGACTGTAGCTTCTCTTCTTGTTCAAAATTTGGCCACAAGATCGAGATTGTTGTGACGTGTTTGATGAGCTCTCATTTGCTCTCTCCATCTCATTGCTATTAGATTGGTTTACTTCGGCGCCACTGCTTTATTGCAAGGAAAAAGGTGAAGATATTCTACAAATCATAATATTTCATGCTCGAATATGATGGAAAAAAGGAAACCATCCTCAAATAGTTTATCCTTATGAAACAGAGATATCTGAATAGGGGGGGAAATACCCGTATCATAAGCATATGCGATACTATTTGGTTTGGTCATGGGTTACTTTTTCCTAGGCACCCTCAAACTTATAACATCATCCAAATAAATTGAGGCAATAGTCAGCAAACTACATTCTGTATGCAGCAATTCACATGGATCTAAGCCACGCTTTCTCATCCAATAGTCATAAAAACCTTCAAAGATCTACAGTTCATCTCATATCCAAGAGTGTGGGCTCCAACTTAATTTTGGAAGGAAGGATGATTGAAGTGTCTAATGCTTAGGCGATTCAAATAGTATAAATCAATGTTTGACACAACAACAACATTGCAAATCTTGAAATAGAAAGTTGTCAGAAAATAACTTGTTATTTGATTATCAAAGAAAGACATACATGAATCTTAGGGTACAGACGAAGTCTCGTGTTCTCATATGAATATTAGCATCTTTTCTTGCTTCTTCTTTAGGACAAAGAACCCGAATCAAATTTAAACATTAACCCAAAATCAAATTTAAGAGATTGAACCCATTTTCACCATTCTAAGCAAATTTCGTGAAAGGGTTAGCCGAAGAAGAAGGAAAAACAAAACCCATAACTCAAAATCCCATTAACCTCTTGATACCAATTGGCATTATAAAATAAATTAAAATTTTTTGAGAATGGGAATCGATCAATTTATGAAGTTAAAACAATACCTGATGGCTTCGTTAGGCTTGGGATCTCGGCACTTGTATGTCACTAAAATCTCAGGACGATCATTTTTTGCAAAGATTTCGCCTTTGCTGCCGTCGATCTGATCGCAGCTCTGCAGAGGATCGCAGTGGGGTTTGAAGAAGGAGCTGATCTTTGCTTGCATTATCTCGTTCCTTTTGAGTTTTTGGAGCGGGACATAACTGGGGATTTTGTGGGAGGTCTCATGAGCATTTTGATTACTTTTTGCCCATTTCGCGCCCTTTCTTCCTTTTTGGTCCCGCCTATTTAATTTCATTTGCTGCGGTTCACTAAAATTTGACAGTAGTTCGGTTAATTTGATGGGCTTGATTTAATACTGATTTTTATTTATTTATTTATTTAGTGAAAAACTGCCTAAGCTGAGATCTCCACAAAGGGCAAAAAATAATCTTGGATCGGGGTTCCCATATTGAATATTTGGTGCACCAAAATGATGTTCAATTTAAAGTCCGACATGAATCTCCACGTAGTAGACAAAGAAGATTCATAGTATAGATTAGCGAAACATTGAATTAAAGATGGAAGAATAGATATTAAAGCACAATTTATCTTATTTTCAACCCATTGAACAGGGTGGATCTTCACGATTATCCCTTGAGACAATTTTTCATACTAATGAGTTGAAATTGAATTATATTTCCAATCGCCACAAGCCAAAACCATAGTCGCAGTCAAGGATATCATACAGGTTATTTATTTTCATGAAATGTCAATAAGCATTAAACCCAATCATTCCCGCGTAATAAGTAAAAAGACAACAGATAACCAACAAACTGAAACAAATCGATGGTTGTAGTCATTTCCTGTTGATGTAAACAAATGGATGGTAGTAGCCATTTCCTTTTGATGTACATCATATATTTATTTTTGCAACTACCATGTGAGGCTTCAGTATGTTCTCGTATTAGTGATATTTTGTTTCGGACCAAGTCTAGTTACAGCTTGGACAGGGAACGAGTCACTGTTGCTTGGATTGTTCCATGAGGCTCATCAGTTGGCAAGAAGACATCATGGGCAAACTGCAAAGAATCAGAAAAGAATCCAAGTATATTACTGACTCGTCACTTGTAAATCTCATAAGACAAGTAGAAAAAACACGGTCTTCAACAAAAACTTAAAATGTAACATACAGCTTTTCAGTTTTACTCTAGATATGCGTACTGAATGTTCATGTTCTCACATACTGAAAGGGTTGCTAATGTGAAAAAGATCATTATGACATGCACGTAGGAGAACTGTGTAGCAGTAAAATCACAATGTAATTGCAGATAATATAAACTTGAAGAGGAATGCTTGGAGTTGCAAACGAGATCTCACCTTGACTAGGCTGGGATTGTCCTTGCTAGATAAATTGACAGGTAAGAAGTGGAGATTAGGCATTTGAAGCTGAATAGATGTTATCTCTTGGAACCTGCAAGATTTAAATGCTTACGACGGCGAAAAAATATTGACTGATCAACATTTAGGAAGGGTCTAGTAAAAAGTGAGCAACCTATTCAACACAGCTTTTGCCATGAGATAGAGCGTGTTCTGAACAGATGGACTGTAAACCCCTACATTTTGGGGACCAAAGAAGGTAGCTTCTAGAACTTTCTTCACGTCTTGATAGCGTTTTGTGAAGCAAAATGACTTGGAAGAGAGATCAGAAATGTGTTTAAAATGATACCTGCAGGGGTAATGAGTAAGACTGTGGATGGACTACAACAGAATAGCATTTCCTTGGCAAGCCGATAAGCATAATTAAAACATTGGACAACAGCTAGTATCTTCTACCTAAATTCCGCACAAAAAAGAAGAACAGATCTAGGTGGTTCTGAATATTACAAGTTGGATAACAGCCCTCAGCTTATAGAGGTATCTAAGCTATGAATAATACCTCCAGGAAGCAGTGATTTCCGTTGCCAACATCCTTTCCCTTGTTTCTGGAAGAATCGTGTACTGATCCCTTATAAAGCCTTCAAAACCTGACTGCAAGTTCAAAGCAGATAGCACTACTGAAATCGCAACCGAATTTCAATTTCATACTGAAATATAAACATCTCACTAAACATCTCCTTTAGATGGCATAGATGAAGCCAAGCAACTATTATAGTGAAAATAACTTGGACAAACTTGGATATTGCAAGTGCAGTTTATTATATTTGGTGCATCGCAACCCCATCTCAGCCGCAACTTATTACTGAAAGGCCAATTTTTAGAAAACTAGGACCTGGGTACAACATGGATGCTGTTATATATAAATATAGTTATACATATATTATAAACTTATAGGTGTGATCGATAGTATGGCTGCACACTAAACAGATAAGGCACACCCTAAAAGATTTAGAACATTAATGCATCGTATATTTAGAAATAATAAAGTACCAAATCTGCATGTTAATCAATTATGTGAAAAATAATGTGCTTAATTAGAAACTGCACAAAGTATATAAATGCATTGCAGCTGAAGTCAAGTGCAACTATAGCCCGTCATTCATACAGCCGTGTTTTAAGTGGTGGATATACCTGTGATATGTCATTGCTACATTTGGGATACAATGCAACTTTTAGCCTTTTAGGATATACCAAGAAGAGTATTTGATCTGTTTCCAGAAGCTTTTCATAAGGAACCAACATATATTTGTCATCTTAATATAGTTCTAAGCGTTCAATTATATAAGCAATTCATAAGTCTGGAATTACAACATGGTAAAACACATTTCCATGTCATAGATGGGCGCCGGATCTTCCAAAAAGTTGATTTCATAATACTTAAAAAAGGCCATTTGCATTAAGTTAAAGAGTGTTTTCCCTAGTTCACACTCCTTTGCAATCAATTGAATTGCAGGATTCATAGAAGAGAGCTTGAAGATATTGTCCAGTTCTAGGCAACACTCTCTCGACTCAACCTGAATACAACTTCATCGACGATCTAACAATTGTCAATAAAGAAGTCCACCTTGGTATAAGAAAAGGGTCAAGACAAGTCGTTTTACTAAATAGATGTATCATTATAAAACAGTTCACTGGGAAAAAGAAATATTACTAGTGATGATGATCGTATCCATTTCTACATAAGAATAAGTTGTGCTTAATAGACTGCACTACATTATTATTTAACACTGAAAGCACCAGTACGACCAACCTTTGTTGTTTTCAACACGGCCAATCCTTCAATTCCTGATGTTAAACTCAATGAACCACATTTCTTCAGCGTCACCTCCACTGTGTGCTTCTCAGATCCAAGTTTAAATCCTACAAAAAGCCAAATAGATTGCAAACTAGTTTACCAGACACATATAATGGAATGATCAATAAGGATGAGAATTAGCAAATTATTATATTAAAGGCAAGTTGATACTCATAACTTCACTATCGCCTAAACATATATCATTGATCTGACCAGGCGATTTCCTTACATGGCATGACGTCTTAATCTACTTCAGGTGCGTAAGAATCATAAGCGACTGGAATCACACAATGAATATTCAATGTAAGGTATTTAGTAAAGTATTATTACCAACTATTGTTTTCATCTTAAATAGCCTATCGACTTCATAAAATGAATCATGCAGATACCGAACGTATGAGATATATACTAATTACTTGCACTTTAAGGCTAGAGCTACTGAAAACAAAGCAAACTGTGAGAAAAGGGCAAGTATTCCAAAGTACTTAGAGGAATTCCCTATCCTATTTAGAGGAGAGAGTGAGATTTAAACACCCCATTCCTTCAGAACTTATTAAGCTCGACTAACTTTATTTTCCAAATTTACAACCTCAGATACCTTAAGATTAATAAATTAAAGATATCCTTCATATCCAACAGGTTACGACATTTTTCTTTGTTCAGATTTAGCAACCACTGATGGAGCATCCCATATTCATTATGCGAAAAAAATTAAGATGAAATGCTTAACCACAGAGAAGTAGGGAATATGATTCCCTACTTCTAAATTATTCCTCTCAGCATGTAGGTTGTGTATGATACTAACCAAAAGTCATCTTATTTTGTCATATCCCCCTCAAATCTTCATATTTGAAACCATAAGTTATTGCAAATTCCGGCCAAAATGACTGCCTCGTCTCCACTATCTTGTTTTGACATTAGTGTTTTTCAAATAATCCCAACATAGCTGACAAACTCTTAGCCTCACATCAAAACACGCGGTATCATAGGAACTGATATTGAAGTTGTTTCAAGAAAAATATGAGCGAAAATAAATGGTCAACAAAGATATCAAAGACATAATTAACCAACCATGGATATGTTGTTGACCATCGACCGTGACACGTTCCCATGGCTTCTCAACTATATTGACAACAGCAGCTGTGACCTGAAGCAAGTAAATGCAAGATGCTCAATCCTTGGGTAGACATAAAGAAAAGCACACAAGAAAGAGCTTAATCAGAGAAGAGAAGCAGGAACCACCTGTGGATAGAATGTTGTGAAATGCCTAGCAAGAAGGACCGCGAAGTTCTCCACTGAGATGGCTTCAGTGCACTCTTTTGCCTTTGCATACACCTTAAATATGAAGCCAACATTTTGGAACATGTATCAGAGACTACAATTAATCTACATAAGACCAGAAACTTACTACGCAAGAAACTCGTAGCAACAATTAGAAGATATTGAATAAGGGGCGACTTTTCCCTAAAATTTTTAACTAAACTCATTTGATGTCTAGGTATCTTATTTCACTAGAAACTTAGATGGGATCATGGGAGAATACTTCCCCACCAAAGATCCAACTTTGCTATATTGCTATTTTATTTTGTTAGAAAAACTTCTCTATACAAGCAGTGGTGTTCTAATTACAAAATTTTACCAAATGGGAGGACTGATTGAAACCTGACAGAAATTCTTTGAATACTAGTCATGGGGAGCGGCGCGAGGGCTTCCATCTGGAGGCAAGGAATCGTCGACGACTTGACGGAATGATGTCATAATACATGATGAATCGTAAGCTGGTTAGTGTTCGCGTGACAAACAGTGTACGGATTACTGTTTACCTTTGAACAGTACTCCGGTTTTAGGTTTCTTCGGGTACATGTCTAGGGTTGGATGTTGTGGATTCTTTTAGAGGGGGATAATGAAAGGAGACAGTATTTTGATAGATACTAGACCTCATACCTAAGAGCCTCACACCAAAGGGTTTCACACCCCAATGTGACAAATCACATGCCAAAAAACACTTCACATGCTCGATATAATTCTCAAGCTCA